TGGTTAAAAATAAATGGGTCAGTTTTTCTCATACCTACTCTTTTTCACTGTTTGACTTGATCAAGACTTTTCTAAGATTTTACATTACAAAATAGGTTAAAATGTGTGACTTGTACTGTTATGGTAACGGGTCAATATCGGTATCGGACATTTCTCTAAGTTGTAATATCGGTATCGTATCGAAAGTGGAAAAGTGGTATCGGGACATCCCTAATTGTAAATAATCAAAAATCCATTTTATAAAACACATAAATATGTATTAATGTGTGTATAACTGTACATACTTCAATGTCAATGACTTTGCAGTTCAAGGAAAAAAAGTAAGTGATACTTATAACCACTATGGCACAAGCAACCCTTGTCATAACATTAACAAATCTCCACTTCCACAAACAAAGCTGTTAATTCTAAACTCACATACTGTCAAACAGTATTTGCATACAGAATCATGTAGTTTGAAGTTTGTAAACCGCTTCAACACGTTTCTTGCAATAATTTGACTTTACCTTGATTCTCCGCTGCTATTGCTAGCACTTTCATCTTCACTGCGTCCAGCCATGTCAGAGTCCAAAATACAGACCTGAGAACTGGTACTGAAATGTCCCAAGAGGTTAACCTGCAAGATGCACATGAGAACTTTATCAGTAGTGTATCAAGTATGTGATGCTAGGCTTTTCTGACAGATTGGTAAGTTCCTCAGTAACTTTCAGCACAACAAGACAAAAATCACAATACAAGTTTATTAAATAGTGCAAAGCTAAGATGTTTTTGACAGCCCGGAACTTCACTGCGGACTACCACCAACCTCTTAATGGAAGAAAGTTCAACCAATCAATGGAAGTGTCTTATGGACACATACGTTCAAAACGTTTCAATAAAACTTATTAAAGCAATCGGAACATGGCGTTTGTTGTAAAAAGTATACTGGTAATTTGTGTAGCAAGTTAGAAAGCTTAAGTAGCTTAAAACAAAAACAAGAACAAGCAGTACTAGATGTAGCTCGCTTTAGCGTCATCTAGCACCGCAAAGGCCTAATAACAGGCCTACATGACATCTGCGTCTTTCACATGCGAAAATTAAATGAATATAAATATTTGTATAGTTATAAATCCTTGAATATTGGAAAACACACACAAAATGACCAAGCGACTGCACGACCTTACAGTCAACTACAGAGTGCAGTAGAATATCACCCTCAGTGGCTAGCTAAGCTAACACCGGCTACTGATGTCAATAATAGCGGTTCTGGCAACAATGTATGAAGACACTGCCAACGCGCCAGCCTCCCTTATGGCATTTACACTGTTAACAATATACACTATCAGCTATCAGCAAATATTTAAGTTACTGAAGCCACGTTAAAACCAAAGCAGTAACTCGTTTCGATATGAAAATCAATGGCTGCTTGCTAGCTTGTTTGCGATGTGCCAGTGTAATTTTCTGAGTTATAATAAACATTTAAATTATTAAAGTTGCAAAATGCAAATATGTCGCAACATTTGTCCACACCATACAACTTTCTTTATTTTAGATCTATCTGAACGAAGTAAACATTCAAGTAGGGCATTATTAACCCTTCGTAAAGTGAAGCTGGCTAACGTTTTGAAGCACGAGGCTAGCAGGGAAGCAACCATAATGACACAACTTTATGCGATTGTGAAACACAAATATATTGACCACTTTATTATTGCCAGCCACATTGGGCATTTAATTGCTAATTAAAATGGGCAATGCAAATATCTGCGCACGGAAAAGCGGAAGGATCAATCACATTAATGAACGCAAATTAGCTAGCCAAACTTCACCTTCCATCTTGTTTTCTTTCTCCGATCACTTCTCGCGGTTTTTACTACATCAACATGCAACGGATAGCCTACTTTCTCGTTCATCTGTGTTTAGAAACACCACATTGTACTTTACCTTGTGTTTTTATGTTCCCTGTGAGTCGCCGGTAAGAAAAGTAGCCAAAGGACGATTTCCCACTTCAGAAGTTCTTTATTATCTCTATGAAGCTGGTGGTCTGGCAGCAGCATGTAGCTAACGCTGCTGTACTCCTGTTAGCTAGTAGCCGTAGCTCCCGGTCAGGGAGAGCAGCAGCGCCGATAAAACAAAACCGATAGAATTTGTGGAATATTGGTTTTCCTCTCCGTTTAAAAACCCGGTAAATCCACCGTGCCGCGACGAAGCCCACGTTGGTAGGTTAGCATCGATTTAAACAAACAGAAAAGAAAAAAGTCATTTTAAGCCAGAGACATCCAACAACAACCGGCCTCGGCCATGACGACGTACGTTCACTACGGCAGGAAACCCCGGACTGTGACGTCACGACCCGAGTTAACGCGCTGTTGCAGCTGTTAACATCTGGCGGCGGGTAATTCAGACATTAATAGACTTTTTAACACTGGAACGCATGCACAAGTTAACTGGCTATGCATCAGCGCTGTCATAAAACATAACACCCCACTTCAAACCTATAAATTTAAATATATAAATATTTAGCATAAAACTAATGTGTTTAATCTTGTGTTGGACAACATCTGGCCACCTCTGTATGAATTTTGAATGGACTGAGATGGCAAGTGGACTCAAAACCAACCCGCCTTCAATGCTCCTTTGTGCCATAATAGCAAATAGTCTTCTTAAAATACCTCAAAATAATACTTGAGTAAAAGTACAAGAATTTTACCATAAATTTATTTAGGTAGAATTTTAAGTATTCTCTAAGACAGTGGTTCCCAAACTTTTTATCTTCTGACCCAAAAAATATCCATGGCAAAAACTTGTGACCCCAAATATTACTGGTCTGAGTACATGAACTTTGTTAATAACCCTAAAAACACAGGCTTTTTGACAATCTAAACCAGGGGTGTCAAACTCCTGTCCTCGAGGGCCGCTATCCTGCATGTTTTAGAGGTTTTCCAGCTCCAACACACCTGATTCAGTGATTGAATTAACTCTTCAAATTGGGCAGAAGCCTGTTAATTACCCAGCGATCAAAATCTGGTGTGTTGGAGCAAGAAAACCTCTAAAACATGCAGGATAGCGGCCCTCGAGGACAGGAGTTTGACACCCCTGATCTAAACAGCTTGTACACAAATATAAATACTTATTTATACTTATTTTGTGTTTTTGCAATAATTATAGGGAAAATATTACATCAGCAATAATTTTGTTACCCTTTAAATTGATTTCTGGAGATTATCCAAGTTGCTTCATGCCCATAATTGGGTCCCAAGCCCAACTTTGGGAACCAAAGTGCAGTGGTTCCCAAACTTTTCAGCTTTTGACCCACAAAATAGTACAAAACAGTAGCAGAGACCTGTGCCCAAAACTATTTTCGGATGTTAAACATCCGGTAAATCCACCGTGCCGCGACGAAGCACGGTTGTTACCATGCCCATGTTTTGTTGACCTGATACAAATCAGGTCAACAAAACATGGGCATGGTAACAATATTTTTTATACTACATTTATCCATTTTAAATATACTAACCTCACTCCTTTGCAACAACTAAGGCAAAAATGTAATTAATTCAGAAAATCTTTTCAGGACCCCACCTTGATGTTTTGGGACCCCACTTTGGGTCCCGACCCCAACTTTGGGAATCACTGCTCTAAGAATATTATGTGAGTAAAATTTTAAAGTATCTGATTTTTTGTTCTTAAGTATCAAAAGTAAATATCTGATATAAAATAAAGTATTAAAGTAAAAGTCCTGCTAGAGTGTAACAAACTTTGCGTCATGTGCAGCTGTGATGGTACAGTGTCATAATGGTATTTATACTTCAAATCCAACCACAATTAAATTCACTCTATCCAGAAGGTGCAATTTATTAGGATATTTTTTATTTTAACAATAACAGCCTGAATGGAAACAAGCCAAAATTAAATAGGAGTAAGGACTTTTACCTTTTTTAATGTAAGGAGTAGAAATAAAATGTAGGCTGGACTACTCAACAGCCTGAAATACAGATAACTAAAAATTCTACTTAGGTACAGTAACATTTTTGTACTTAGTTACTTTACAACTCTGGAAGGTAGTAATAGAGCTGAAACAGTCAAGATGCGAAAAGATGAACTAACTTTGCAGTTCAATATTGTGATCAAGTGATGACATCAGAGGGCTGTTTCACAAAAGCAGGATTCAGACATTGGGGATGAGAGATAAATCCAGGTTTGACATAATGTGATCAGTTCATAGCTTCATCCGTTTCACAAGGCTGAAAAGGTGCAGCTGAGCCAGGTGTAATCCAGGTTCGTCCAAAGACCATGAGATCAATCACAGATTCACTGATTCTACAATGAATAAAATGTGTGCACCATACTTCTCACCAAATTAATAACATACAGTATTTTGATGCAGGCTTATGAGGTGTAGGAGCCTATATGTCTTATTGTTTGTTTATTAAAGTTTTAAAAAAGTTTAAAAGAAATGATATGTATATGGCTAAAAGTTAAGATTTATGTGTTTTCAATCATAATTTGTGAATAGATATTTGATAAGATGACATGTTATTTACATACATATATAAGAATAACTTCAATATGTGAATATAATGTATTTAGAAACAGCAGGGAGAAGGTGTATGGTTAGTTAAGAATAGGAGGAGGGAGGGACATTAGGCTCAGGAGCCAAACAGTTTTTTTGACCTCTCTCTGTTTCTCTCAGTTCCTCTTATTTAAGGTTATGCTGTTCTTTTATTTAGCTATGTTTGAAGTTTGTAGATGTATATTTTGTATTTTTAATTTTGATTTTTCAAGATAAACATTTGAAACTTGAACACTGTGGTCCCGAGGAGTTTTTTTTTAACCTGGAAATGGATGGAGGGGGATTTTTTTGAAGCATCAAGTTAAGGCTTCATGGAAACTGTTATTTGGAAACTTATGAGGAAAAGAAAGGAAATACTGCCACTGTTATAAAGGAGCAACAAAGGGCATAGAAAACAATAATAGATCACCTGAAGGCTTAAAATAAGTATTTTCTAACTACTCTCAATGGAAAATGTAATCCTGTCATTTGCTCAAATTAAAAATTTTAAACTTAACAATGAACAGTGGAATCCTATAATGTAATGTGTGAATCTGACCGTGGATTCATTCATGTTACTCTCCTTTATTTCACATCTTATCAATATTTCTACAGCATGAACATGACTGGACCTAGAAGGACTTGGCAACATATTAGAATATAAGAACATTTTGCAAACTGGTAAGTATCTAAAAAAATGTTGACAACAAATGTACAAATGACTTGTGCCAATAACATCATATGTCATCCCCATGTTTATTTAAGCCATTAAAAAAAACTTGTGTCTGACACAGTGGGGTGGCCCACCATCCCCATAGTTCCCATACAATACCACTTTTATAGTATATATTTACAGTCAAAATACAAATCAATATATGGAGCATTTGTATCTACAGTACACGAACAGAGTTATGATACACGGTGAGGTTTTGCACCATCTCTCACTCAGACTCAAAGACAAGGGAGTAGTATGTGTTTTTAAGCGAGACTTGAAGACATCAGGTGAAGGAGACTGTCTGACCTGTAGCGGCAGATCAGTCCACAGTTTTGGACCTGCTACAGAAAAGGATGTGTCACCTCTGAGTTTAAGTCCAGAGTTAGGGACCTTCAGAAGCAGCTGACCAGATGATCTAAGAGAGCGCTGTGGAACAAGTGGATGCACTAGATCTGAGAGGTTAATACCCCCGGCTGTTTTGTTCACGTAAGTGTTGTGTTCTGTATGCTTCATTCATTCGTTTGTTGTATACTTATCTTTTGCTCAAATAAATATTTTTAAAAAATCTGAGAGGTAAGAGGGGGCGGAGTTGTTTAGGCATTTAAGGACATAAAGGAGTGAATTCTGAAATGAAGTGGAAGCCAGTGAAGAGATGCTAGAACAGGAGTAATATGTTCTCCTTTACTTCTGCCAGTTAGAAATCAGGCTGCTGCATTCTGAACCATTTGCAAGCGAACAATGGAAGACTGGCTGATACCACACAGCAGAGCATTACAGTTGCCTGGATGTAATGAAAACATGAATTATCTGGAGGCCCGCTGCTGCTCGGCCCCCCGGTGGGGTGTGCGGCTGGCCGCCGGCGTGCTGGGGGTTCCCGGGGTCTGGGGCTGGGCGCTGGGGTGTGTGCCGGCCTGGCCTGGTGACTGCCTGTTGGGGTTCAGGGCCTCTGGGCCTGTCGGGTTTTGGCCTGGGGGGTGGGGGTGTTCCCAGGGAGCCTGGACCTCTGTGCCCTTTCCTGGATCTGCTTTGGTATGGCGGGTGCCGGTGGGGCCCATGAGTCTGTCAC